TACGTTACATTATATATAGCTCAGGCTTCATTGCACATTTTTTTTCTCTCCATATTTTGGTTTTCTTCTCTTTCTTTTCACATTCCTAATCATATAAATGTACTGTTAGTATCATAATGTGAATGTATATTATTTTGTCCCTCTATCAGGTAAAAAAACTGAATGCTATGGTGGCAGAGAAGAAGGCAAGCCTAGCTCCTGTTATCAAAGAACTGAGACAGTTGCGTCAAAAGTGCCAAGTTAGTAGAAACACTTCTCTCATTCTATGTGAATCAAGTCAGAATCACAAATAGTCTAATTTACAGATCTCTGTAGTGCTGCGCAAAGACATAATAAATTCTGAAGGAAAGCTGGAAATAACAGAATGGATCAACAGTGATTTGCAACAAGCAACATGTAAAAGACTGGAATTTGTAAAAGCTGACAGTGCAGGCACAAAATCAGGCTGAAAATTTTGTCCTTTTTAGCAATTAAAAAAAATTATTACACCAGAGGAAAATTTAAAAAATCATAGTTCAAACCTATAGCAAAGTTAGTTTTCAAATTGGTTTCAAAGCTTTTTCTGCATCTCAGCACTGATGATCTCAACTAACACTCTCCTTTTTAAATGGGTTGCAAATAATACCGTATCCAAGTAGTTGAGTACATAGATCAAAGTCCTATATTAGTCTGTAGGAATGACAGATTTATCTATTTGTTTTCAAAGTTTTATGGAGAGCTGAAAAAAGAGTCATTCAGGTCCACAGCTGCTATAAGTTGGCTCATTGCCATAGAAGTAGCGCGAGCGATCCATTTATCTATCAACCAGTTTTCCAGAAATCTTATTTTTGATGGTTCTATTAAAAGCGTCGCCAAATGAAATCCAGCTAAGGCGTTTGTTGTGTACAACTAGAAAGCTGGCTTTTCATAGGTAGCAATTATATTAATCCTTTCTTAATCTCTATTTTCATAATTATTTTTCCTTTCTTCTTGCAAACACTGCCCTATTAACCTACCGCATTAAAGCTATGGATGTGGCTGTAAAGAGGAAATCTGCATGCTATGGTGTGGTGTATACAGCTGATCCTCCAGTATGCAAGTGGAGGCTAGAGGCTTCCCCGTGTGTAATAATACCCGTGTGCCTGCTAGGTTTTATGTAAGCGGCTGCGAGAATGCCAATAGCTGAGGTTGATGTGTGAGACCGACACCAACACAGTCTGCCTGAATGTCACATGTCAGTCAGTTGAAGATTTCATTTATATACCCTTTTGCCCTTTTCACATAAGGAATTAACTCAAGAATGTGATGAAAAAAAGATCCAATACGACAGTTGTGCAGCAGGGTTAGAGAGCAATCGCTCTACACTGGAACAGGTAAGATGGTGGCTCATTCATGCATATTAATACATGCTGTGCAACATGTTATTCACTGTGGTACAATATTTTCCCGGCCTTCCCTCTGGATATGGAAAGTATGAATCCACTTCAGGTGGAAATGAGTCAGTGGTGATCCACAGCTATGCAAATCAAGCCTGAAGCTGCTGAGGACTAGCTATAGTCACACACATCTGCTCTGAACAGCAACAACTGAACTCAGTGGAACATCAGTCCATCCACCGACGTCCAGCTTTGATTAGAAGGAATACTGTAAAAAAGATCCATCTGCCAGAAATCCTGCTGACCCAGATAGTATCTGTTAGGAGAGAATTTGACCATAAAATAAGAATTAATTTATCAAGACAAATCTTTATATGCATTTAAGCAGATTAATTACATCCAGTGGATAATTAACGCACTGAAATTGATGGCAAGTATACTTCACTAAATGTGACTGGTTTGTATTCTTGCATACAACAGTTTTTTAAAAATACAACCATATAGGTTGAGCTTGTGTGTATGTAGCTTATGCAGTACTTGAACTATAGCACTTTTAGGAAAGGAGGTACCTAAAGCACTGCAATCCTTTAAGGTGGGGACAGTGTTAATATGCTTGTATGAATATGCTTTATCTCCTGTGACTTTAGTCTTGATTTTTCAAGGAATATATTTCAAAATAAAAAAGGCATACATTTAAAGTGTGGATGGATATATAGATAATTCTTTTCCTGCACTAAAATTACCTTTGTATGGCTTAATCCAAGCAAAATAAAAGAATGCACAGATGAACCTACTATGAAGTAGACCTTCCATAAGTGCTATTTTACAATAGCAACCAAGGCTTTTTTCTTGGCAGAGAAATCTTAGTCATTTTCTAACACATGATGACAATCACATCCACTGATTAAGCTGGACATGTCTGTCAGCAAACTCTTGCAGTTGATCAGTAGAATTCGGTTTTCCAGCTGATGGTCTGAAAATCACGTGGTGACAGAGCTTTGGAGTTGACAATTGTTGTGCGACCCAGAGTACATTAATTCCATTTGGATTATTAGGGTTTTTTGGTGTGGACCATTTAGAGATGGGACTCCATACCACTCCGTACTCATCAACGTAATTATTGATTGCTAATTAACATACTATTAACATGTCTGTAGTTTCTAACATACATTTTGCAGATGTGTTCCAGGAAATGCTTATTCACAACTGTATTTAGCACTTAAGATGTGCTTAGGAACAAGAGTCTTGGCAGCGCTTGTGAAGTGTCCGTTAGAAGTCAGTCATATTAATAAATGCCTATTAACAATCATTTAGCATCTCTGACTGTGACTGAAACTCCAAATCTAAAAAAGTCAATTGTCTTTCACTTCATAATTTTGGCTTTACTGAAGTCTCTTTTATAAACATTTAAGAAATCATCAATTCAGTATAATGCCTGTTTCTATTACGGACTCTCATGGTTCATATAGCAACACGGGGCATTTCTGTGGACTTTCAGTTACAATGTCCTTTGAAATCTTACTCTTGTACGACAGGAAGTGAAAGGACTTCTTGAGGAGTGCGTTCAGGAAGAAAGCAACTACCGTTATATTAACTGCATGAAAAGGGTAAGATCACAAGAGGGACCCAATTGTTCATTTCAAATAGGAATTATTATATTTTTTTTTTTTTTAATTACGTATGTATTTATAGAACCTAGAAATACAGCTGCAGCGTGCTAAAGAAGAAATGAAGGCATACATCTCCCCAGACCCCCAGGAAAGACGAAAGGCAATTCGGTAAGTATATTATCGTGTTTCCTTTGTGTTAACTTGAGGATATTCATAAACTGAGGTTCAAGTTAGGAATTTTCTCACTGGCATTTGAACTGGAGGAGTTCACCTGATAAATTTAGAAACACTATAATAATCTAAAAATAAGCATCTCAAATTCCAGTATATACTGCTGTAAACCTACGAGTTCTCTCAGACATACCAAAAGATTTTCTCTTCCTGCTGGAGATTATAGGCCCCAGATAGCAGTTTTAACTCGCAGCCCGCGTTGGCAGAAGCTCAGAGAAGCTGTGCTCCAGCTAGGTCCTGCAGGAAGTGTGGCTCTACCAGACGTAACGCTGCTGCCAAGTTTCCCCCGAGACTCCAGCGGGCAGGAGTAGAAGGTTTACTACCTCTCGGAGAGCAACCATGTGCTGCCCTCAGATTGTGGCCATTTCTTGCAAATCTTCTGCTCTTCTGTAGAAGAGTAGAAGGTGTAATAACTGTCACCATTACTGGTACAGGAGCAGAGGACTGCATATTCTCATCCTACATGAGATTTGGTTTTGCTCCTATTTTGGTTTTGCTCCTATTTGCAGTTCTAACTCGAGGTAGAATGAATATTGTTCTGCACCATCACACAAACCTTCGTCTTTACAGTCAATTTAATTTACTCCAATATAAAGACGGTTGCTTCATCCTGTGAGTTTTTTCAGGACCCCTTGCCTTTGCCTGGTAGAGAGAGAAGCAGAAAGGGTTATGAATTGAGCTGATGATATTTTGGGAGTGTAGTTTTCTATTTTTAAATTATGCAGTCCTGCCAAAGAATGAAATGTTTTCTGAGAATGAGATATTTTGGATTAATTATCTGTCCTAAGAAGTCTAAATGTTACCATGTCATATAGGTTTTTTACACTTTAATTTATTATTAAATTAATTTAATTTATAGTAAATATTTTTATAAAAGTATCCTGTTTAAAATTTTGTATATGTTCAGTCTTTTAATACAATATACAAGGTGAAACAAAATTCAGGCAATAAAGTCAACAAGCTGGTTCAGCTCCATCAAAATTAAACATCAGGAAAATCCAAGCCCAAAACATTTATAACTTTCATTTGGTCAAAATACCTGTGTTTTTTTTATTCTTCGTAATTACTTTTTCAAGATTTTATAATTTTGCATGAAATACAAATTCTGGTTTATAGCTAGTTTTATCTTTGACACACACAAAAACCTAAATTCTTAGATCCTAGCTGTCAACAAAATCAACAAGTTTAAATTGCTGTCACTAGTTTTATAAAGTGATCTTTGGCTTTTGCACCACAGTATTTCTCAGTCATGAAAATATTTATCAAAACCATAGTTTTAAAATTCATGTTTGCTTGGTTCAACCAAGGGTCTTTTTGTTTTATTTTTTAACGAATGGAACGAGTGAAAAACGCTCTGATGTTCTGAGAATTGGGTCTCCTTAAAGGTGCAGTCATTACTGTAGCAAGGAATCTCCACAGCGTGTATCATTTTTAGTTCCGTGCAGGGGGGCATCAGCTCTGCCTTGTACCTCTCCATCTCAGTCTGCATCAATCAGCGTTCCTACAGTTTGCTTTATTGCTTAGGCTTTAAAAATCCACAGCAGTATAATTCCTCGATGTGAGGCCTCTTCTTAGATTTCTGCATTTGTATTTCAGCGGCGGGACAGATTGTTGCTTGAGATCTGTGTAATCTGTCATGTCAGAGCTGTGGTTCGTGTACAGTCTTCTGTACAAGGTGCCAAAATGCTTCACAAAATTGTCCCATTCACAAAACAATTTAAAAACATGACTGAGGGGAAAAGCAAAGATAGAACTGCTTAATTAGATAATTAATTATCATTCTACATTCCATTTGAAAGCGTCAGACTGTTCAACGTGCTGACAGCACAACAGGAAAAGAGAAACAGTAGTTGTCTGTCTTCTCAAAGGAGTTTAAATCAATTTCTCAAGACATCTGTCCTCAAGATTTTCACCTTTCAGAATAATTTCTGGACCTTTCTGTTGCAGTGGTGGCCACAAAGGAAGCACCGTTAGGTGGTAGTATACATAATCAAAAGTAATTTGGTATCACCAGGGCAGTGTCTTCACTCATTGTGGAGTGAAAAAAGGTGGTGGTTGACCACTAGGATTTTCTGGGCTCTGGAGTGGGGCTGTTGACAGGGATAATAGTGATGTGTCAAACTGAGTGAGAAAACTCCAGGGATTCCCTCCGGAGACAGAGAGATGAGGTCGTCTTCCCCCATCAAATCCTTCATCAACCAGAAGTTGTCCTGATGCACCTTGCACTGGTACCAGTGGAGCTGCATCTCCTGCTGGTCTAGAACATGAGGCAGAGATCACTAGGAAATGAAGGGCAAGATTAATATCCACCACAGAGACCTGCTGCAAGGATCTGAGGCATGAGAATGTTTAAACACGATGTAGGAAACAATGTAGGAAAAATACGAGTAAGAAAAGAATCAAAACTACTAATGTTAGGGTGGGAAAAGAAAAGGATGAGGAGATAGCACATTAGTGGAGGCTAAGCAGCCTCTTACTCCATCTCACAAAATAATGCAAAGCTGTAGGAAATAAAAGATTTATCTAATGAAAGACGATGAAACAGCAAAATGAAGCAGAAGGATAAAGAGAGAAGTGGCTGTGAGAAAAATCTTAGTGATGATGTGAATATTCATTAGTATGAAAGGCAAGACAGCTCAGCCAAGCAGCTGAGAGGAAATGCAGGTCAAACAGCAGGCACTGTCCTTTTACGGCTTCGCGGGGAAGGGGAGGGTCGGAGTTTATTCACAGATGCTGAGCAAAAAATGCTCCAACTGAAATACTTGTGAAATGAACAGCCACAATGGGAGTATTCACACAGACAAGCCATCAAAGCCAAATGCTGGAATTAAGCATGAGCCCAGCTATGTAATTCCAGGTATGGTGAGGAGAATGTGAACGGAGCATTACCACTCTCTCTGCTGTCCCCGGTTCACTTGCTCACTGTGGGCACAGAAGCTAGGGAAATTATGCTCTCACAGTGACTATACACATTTTTGACCTTCTGTAAGAGGTCACAGACCTGTCCCGTTTAAATGAATTACAACAAAATCCAATATAGAGATCTTTGCAAAATATAAAATGAGACGATAAATTATTTTTCTAGACATCCTTTTAGAATGTGAATGTATTTTTCAGCAGGCACTGGAATGTAAACGGAGTAAAAATGAACCATAAATAGAACAGCACTTTCCTAACAACATATTGAACAAAAAAGTCTTAATTCTGACCCTCTTTATTGAATATAAACTCTCTGTTCTGTGGAGTCACTCCTTAGGAATGTGAAAAGTTAATTTTCTTCTCTAAAAATAGAAAGTTGTGCTTTTTTTAATGAAGTTATTAAGTTGCATTCTTTCCAGTTATCATTACAAATAGTAAAGAAAAAACTTACTAGGAAAGACATCTAATCTTCTGACGAAAAAAAGTATGTTCTTGAGGCCAAGTGTGTGTGAACAGATGCTGTGTGCCAGTGGAAATAAGACTCAGTGTGGCTTTCCATCTCTTTGATTTGGTGAGGATTGCTAGGGATCAGCTGTGCAGCACAGCACTTGGAGCAGCCTCAAGATGGCTCTGATTTGTTCTGGCTAGAATCGTCCAAGAGTGAGGGATCATAAAATGATCCAGCTTCATTCCTTGCACGTCCATTCTGCAGGGAGTACGGCAGGCAGGACCAGGTGGCCAGGGGCCCAAATGCTCCAGTCGAAAGCCTGGAGTACTTAGTAGAAATGGAAGGAATAGAAGAAACACGATGCCTTGGTTCTGCACGGCTGCTCACCATGCTCTAGCAAATGTTCACACTCTGGTGTCGTGAAAGCTGATATTTCTTTCTGGAAATTAGGATTTCTCTATGCAAAGGTATTCTACCCTGAGCAATTTGGGAAGTTCTCTAGTTGAGCCGAGTTACTTTGTATTCCACTAGCAAACTCTAAGTGTACCTGTTACTCACAAAATATAATATTTTTTTCCCAAGTGAATCAGTGAAGAGGTTTTTTTATTGTCACATCTCAAAAAAATTCAAAATAAGTACATAGTAAGGTATCTGGATCCTGCTGTTCTGGTTTGCATATTATATTGTCAGGTTTCATGTATCAAGTTTGCATATGTCAGAAAGTGATCCAGCCACGTGTTACAAGACAAAGGTGTACAGCCAAGATTTTTAATAATGAATGTCAACAGTTATGCTTCTAAGCCTATATTTAGGCACCTAAATGTGACGGCTGTTTTCTGAAAGCAAGGAACACACAGCAGTTCCATTGCCGTCACTGGATTTGTCAAACCTGGGGGGAAATACTATTCCCCTTCATTCCGGTATTTTCTCACTCATTCTAACGCTACATTCACAGCAATTAAGGGCTGTGGGTTTGTAAACTCTGACAAATGAGGTCACTGTGGCTAACCTCAGCATATCACCAGGATAAATGCATTATTAAAAAGGGATCAAGTATGTCTTACTGTAAATGATCTTACTGTTGTCTTCAAGCTGGAAGGAGTGGTAATCATGCTTGCTTCAAAAATGTGAGAGATCATCTCTGATACCACTTTTCCCAACTGCACAACTGAGAGAATCAGAGAGATCTGATCCTTGATGTCAAGGGATACGTTGTCCAATGACAGAAAGGTTTCTTCATGCTTCCTCTTCTATTTAATTTATGAACCTCCTGATAGTTTCATAATTTTCCATCATTATTGTGTTCTATTACATAGAACCATAAAATCATAATAAAATTACTTTCTATTTCCTTTAGAGAACAGTATACACGAATGATTCTGGAACAAGAAAACCTCGGGAAGGTAAGAATGAGGTTTTTACCTTGTAAAAACATTGTACGGTTCATATTTTTGTGGGGCTTATTACTAGAGGCTGTGATCAGTCTTTTATAAAAAGCATATTGCAGCCTACAAAGAAAATTCCATCACTGCTGGCATTGGTAACTAATACCCTGAAAAGAGATCATGCTCGCTCTTCAGGGCTTGATTTCCTGCAGAGCATAGCATGAGCTGTTTGTAAAAGATAGTCAAACAGCTTAACGTGACAGCACATTCCCTGAAAACCATTTGGACAAGAAACTGAAACATGGGCATAACAAACTGTGCCAGCTCAAATTTTATGTTGTATATAAAGCAACCTGTTGAAGACAATAAATTTGAAGCCTGTCAGCCTTATCACTAAAGGCCAGGGGATCATCAGCGCAGCAGTGTTAAACAAAAGCAGTTGTCCCTTTTTAATCTTGTATGAAGCTCAGACCAGCATGGAGAAGGTTAGGCTTACCAATTCACACTAAACATCTTTCTTTCATTAGTTTCCTTTTTATGAGTGAGTCTGTGAGCGATTTCTACACGTTTGGGCTGCCACTATTAATAATCAGTTTCATTGCAAAACATTAATTTCATGTTTATAATATCATGATACTAACTGATTGCAGCTTGCAGCTTGATACTGCAAGAGCTCTGTACGGAAACGAACTCAGAATTTTAGCATAACCTCTCAAATAGATAAGACTATTATTTGGACAGTTTTAAAACACTGAAATAATTGTCAGTTTGTGGATATCTGAGTCCCAACTGTTAATGCATCTATCACTTGCAGGGAGTGTTATCAACTTGAACAAAATAATATTTCAGTAGCATATAAAAATCTTCGTCATTCCAATCTGCCTATGTAAGCAATTTTTGTGGCACAGAACTGTTCCAAACATCCAATATTTTTGTATTTTTAACAGAAATTACGAGAGAAGCAGAAAGTTGTACGGGAAAGTCACGGGCCAAATATGAAGCAAATTAAAATGTGGCAGGACTTTGAGCAGTTAATGGAATGTAAGAGAGAATGTTTTCTGAAACAGCAAAATCAAAAGGCCATTGGTCAAGTCATTCAAGAAGGAGGCAAAGATAGGCTTGTGTTGTGAATGCTTCCTTCTCGATACCAACGTAAAGTAGGGAGACAGTGTGTTGTCTTCCTAAAGGTAACCTCTTACTAGATATTGTTGCTTTCATCATTTCTACATAAATTTTTTGTGCGTTATTTGGTTTTGGTGGATAAACAAAGAGAGCGACTAACCACTACGAAGCTTTTCCTCCATTGTTTAAGGGACAACGTAACGTGGTTAGGAGGATCTGTTGTGAGAGCTGTGCTAGGGTGAACCTCATCGTAAATCTTTGTTTTATGAGGCTGGGAATGGCATGCATCTGCAGGGAGATCAAAGGAAAAGAAATCCTTCTCCGGGGTCACAGAAAACTTACGTAATTGCTCTGCTCCTTATTCTGTATCACTAAGGTTATATTTTTGCAAGGCCTGGGACTTGATATTGTGTAATTATGGCCCTCCTGGCTTGGCCCTCTCCTTCCCTATTGTCTTTATTCATCTAGTGTGACTGGCAAGAATGGAGCCATTTTCACTCTGAGCTGCACAGACCTTGCCTGCACACTGCTAGTCATACTTTCCTTGCACGGTTGAGTTAAATTGATTGTGCTTCCAGGAGACAGCTCATTGCTACAGCGTCAGGAGTAGCTTCTGAGAACAATTACTTGGAATCTGAGCTTTTTCCATTATCTTTTGTTGTTGTTTTTAACAAACGTATTTCTCTTGCACATATATCTTCTTCTAATTTTTCCGAGTTGCCCGCGTGGAAGTGTAAATGGTGGTCGACTAAAGGCTTCCTCCACCGAGGACACTTTGTGCTGTCTGCTCTGTGCAGCACGGTTCCAAAGTGATTACACTACCCAGAAAGGGTCGTCCCAGGGATGGAGGGTTATTGATGGATGTAAATATGGCACAGTGGTTCTTGCATAAGTTAGGGTATGCAGAACAGGTAGATAGGCAAGGCTGCCTTCTACTCTGGCTTTGACCCGTGAGCCACAGGCAACTGTCACTGCCCTTAACACTGCATCACGAGACCCGCAGCTGACCCAGGGTTAGAGGAATGTAGGTGAGGCTTGAAACTGTCCCTCACGCTTCATCATTTCGGATGAGCGCCTCTTAGCCACAATCAAAGATCAGCAGCAGAGAGATAAGTCTGCGGGACCAGAACTCTTGCTATTCTTCTTTAGTCTCTTGGCTTATTGAATTTCTAGATAGGGTTGGGTTTGTTGGGTTGGGGTTTTTTTCATTTTTCCTGCCTGAAGTAGAATCTCTTTTCAGGACATAAAAAATAAATTTGCTTTCTTTGATACCTAACTATGAGATCTTCTGCTCTTTTCTGTATCAAGAGAGTGTATGGTCATTATATAGTTCCTAGTTTGCCTTTGCATTAAATATATGCTAACAGAACTAAAATAAAACCTGATGATGACATTTTGACTGTATGGTGTTCTTTTTTTTTTTTATATATTTCTTAAGTGAAAGAAGTTAAATTGTTAGTGACAAGTAGCTTGCTGGGCCACAGGAAAAAGAGATTTGAATAGGTCATTTAATGAAATTTATTTCAGATGCCCCCCCCAAAGTGTTGAAAACCACGGTGTATGTGTAAGGAGTGGGTCTCGGATCCATAGGTTCCCAGGACATCCTCGTGTAAGCCCTCCCACGCTGCTGAATAGCTGAAGATAGTCTTTCTCAACAGCTGCACACTAATCTTTCTCAGGGCAAGGAGAAGCAGCATGGTTTCCCCTACGCACATTTTCGGTGAGCGTGGAAGGAAGGCTGCGCGGTAGGACACAGGCACAGGTAGACTTGGCTGGGGTGGGGAGAGTGTGCTGCGTTGCCACCACCCGCTGCTTCCGTGAGCTCATGACTCTACACGGCAGGAGAACGGGCCATGTTGATCTGGAAGGGAGAAGCTCAGGAAAAGGATGTACGCAGACTATATGGCGTGGGCACAGCTATCTCCAGAGACACCTATACATCTTTTCCCTGCTGGCCCTTATTACCACGCTTCACCTGCATTGCACTGTAAGGCCTGTTGAGCTGAAGAAAGTTATGGCAGTCACATACCTGGACTTCTAAAGGAGGCTTTTGCTGAACACTTGCCAGCAATAGTAAAATAACACAGACCACTAGATATGAAACATGCTGAAAACATGGGATAATCACCAAAAATGGGCATTTAGCTTACTTAGGAATCAGCCTACAGTTCAGAGTCACCAGACAGAGCAGAGAGCAAGGGGATTTTATATACTTCAAGTCAAAACTTTTAACAAAACCCTAGAAACCCTATTTGACTAGACCCTTTATGCAAAGATGTATTACACGAATTAGCCTGCTGCTCAGGAAAAAGCAATGCTATTGAAATTCATAACAATGATGTAGAGTAAGATTGAGTATAATCATTTTCTGTTTTTCTGTTCAGAGTTGCCTAAAATAGTTCATCTTTCTTCCCTGTAAAAACAGTTTATTGCTAGTTACTCAAAGATGACGTGATTGTTGTTCTGATCTGATTAGTGTTGTCGTTTGTACTGCACCAAGAAAGGACACACGGATTATACACTACAGCAGCAGCAAAATTACTTTCTGAGATGAAACAGAAAATCATAATAAGTGTTAGGAAAAGAAAATTGGAAAAACTCAAATGCTATTTTTAGCTTTTTATATAAGTGGGCATTGAATAAATGCAACTTTAATGGATTCTGTTCACTGGCTTTTCCACCTAGCTCATGATTTGATGGGAGCGTTCAAAAATCTTTGAATTTCACAGTTTATCTTTACCTCCTAACTTGCAACAAAAAGCTTGCTTTAAATTTTTTTTTACTTTGTTCTTTTTAATAACCTAGCTGGTTAACTAATAAGATTAAATGTACCATATGGAAAAATACCTGTCTTTCTCTTGTGAAGGTCTAAATAAATCAAAATGTGCCTAACTAAATTTGGGGCTCCGGCACTTACCAGATTTCTTCCAGTTGGAACACTGATCCGAGCAGTCACTTACTTTGTTTCAAAAGGCTTCTCCTTATCTTTACCCAGAACTGGATGAGGAAGTATTCCAGCTAAAACTAGTATAGTATTCTGCAGCTTTGTGTTATTTAGTCATGTTGACTCAGCTGTCCTTAGAGCTACAGGCAAGTTCCACATGGACCTAAGAGACGAAATAGTTACAGGCATCAGAAATAGGCATGAGAAAACTACATCTACCATGTTGTATGACCTGCCATTTTACTATCTGGTTATCAGATGATTTTGTTTCTATTAGCGGTACCATTTTACTTCCATTTGAACTATAATAGATAAGGAAGGCTAAGAACATTTCTTTTAAGTAACCCAAATCTAGGATTACTTACTTGTATATCTTTACTCACATGGATATTACTACTAATGAAGTCATATGCATATAGTTGCCCACAATCATAAAAGTCGGGCCCTGCCATTGTATTTATTATGTTTAAATATACTGACTTCCAGAGCTTTCTTGATAAGACTTTCCTACAGTATGAAGCTGCTCACTGTTATAAAACAGCAGAAGTATTTAGTAACAATTCAGTGCCTAGGCAATGTCCTCACGATGAGGATGTTCTGATTAAGAAGCACGGATAGCACAGTACGCAGTAAGCAATACAAAAGCCGTTCTCCGGGTGACTTGCTGGTTCAGGAACTGGAAATGAAGTACAGAGCTGCTTCTCCTTCGATCACTATTTCATGTCTGGCCCATGATGAACAGCGACGGAAAGCTCACTGCTAACTACCTGGTGGCTGTCCTCAGCAAGTGATCTATGCAGAGCAATTTGGCAGTATCGGTCCGATTCCTAGATCACGACTCTGGCAGTGTTTGGCAAGCCTGGAGCCAGCTTCCACATGAAGGCAGACACATATGTGACTGAAAGACCATGGAGACTGAAGCGCTGTCACCCGAAAGGTGATCCCTTTGGAGAAAGGTCGTGACACATTGACACAGTGGAGTGTGGGAAGCTGTTACTCTGTCACCTTGTCGGTGGATGAGGAGAGCGCTGATGTTTGCAGATCTCATTTCTCCCGTCGGCCCTGTACTTGCCCAGACTTAAGGGAAAAAATAAAGAACTCGATCTGAACATGTGCCCTGTTTTATCATCTGAGGCAGTAGGTTTCCTGCCGAAGGAACACTGTTAACTCTTCAGCTGCCTTTCTCTACTGCAATCCGTAATGGAAACAGAATTGAAATTTTCATGGACATGCCAGTGTTGCAGTGAGGAAGTGTTACACAAATCAACAATTTTATCAGAAGGTACCACCTTGTCTGGGCAACACCCAGTTGGGTAGTTGTTTTTTAACAATCAGAATTTGACCTATTTCCAGCTTGGTTAAAGAGTTCTTTAAATTCTCAGCATGAATTTAAAATGGGTTCTCCAAATTCGCAGTGCCTCTGTTTCTGTACTGTTAGTTCCACAGTAGCAGTCTCCCAACTCCCAAGGCAGTCTGTTTTATTCCAAGGTCATTGGGTGAAAAGGGCGTTTTTCACAATTGCATTACACTGATTTTCATTATTCTAGTTTATAGACAAAAAAAACACTGTAAGCCACTGCGCCGTGGTGATGTCAAACTCAGTGAGGAGCTCTGCTGTTTTGGGGGGGGG